GTGATAATACTAAGGTTGTGCACACTGCAAAGTATCCTTTAAAATATTTTTTTATATCTTGGGGTTGGGTAAAGTGTGTGTGTTGTGGGGAGGAGGAAAGCTGAAGAGATTTAGATGATAGCAGGATAACTTGAACATAGCTAATTTTATAAATATCAGAATTTTCCTCTGATGTTTTTACTACATTACTCGAAAGATAATTTGGGGGGGAAAAAACTGTCTCTGAAACTGCTTTGTCAAAGAATGTTTAAATCTTATTTTCTATTAAATTGAAATTGCATGTTAGACACTCCTGTGGGCCTGAGTAGGGATGCTAGAGTGACACCCAGGTTTGAATCTTGGCTCTTGGTATCTAGCCATGTGACCTTGAGGGTATTACTTAATCTCCGAATAGAGGTGGAGAGGACTTGTGACTGTTACATGTCCCCTCTGAAGGGAATTATACCTATTTCACAGGGTTATTGCAAGGATTAAATGAATATTCTGTGCAAAGTTCCTAATACTGTTATTGGCACATAGTAGGCCTTCAGTAAGTAAAGCTATTACATCTAGCTACTTCGACAACAGGGTTGGGTCTTGAGACCCCTTATATGCAAACTATGATCATTAACAATGGGAGGTAGAGATGCCAGATAAAATACAGAATGTAGAGTTAAATTTGAATTTCAGTTAAACAACAGATTTTTTAATGTAAGTATATCCCATTCAATATTTGGGACATATACTAAACAAGTTCATTATGTATCTGAAATTCAAATTTAACAGGATGTCCTGTGTTTTTATTTGCTAAACCTAGCAACCCTAAGTGTAGGAATAATAAGATGTGGTCAAAGGGGACCTGCTAACAACCTCTGAATATTATCGAGATTGTTCACACCCCAAGTTGGCTAAGGGACCCCTTTGCCCACCAGTTATGCAGCCAATACACTCCTGCCTTTAATGGGGAAGTGTCTGCCAGAGCAGCACTGTACCTCTCATCAACTCTCAAATCGCTGGTCTGGTGCTACCAGTTAGCAGATAAATGCCTCCTGGATTTTCTCTTAAACAAACAAAAGCTTGAAATGGATGGGAAGATAAGGCTTACAAAACATCAGACATGAGTGTACGAAATGAGAGCATCCTAATCGTGTTAAACTGAGCGGTAAGACTCTAAGTGCTAGAGGAGCTCAGAGTAAAGGGAGCTGATCAATGAGAACTAGACTAATGAGGATGCAGGCTCTAGATTTGCACCTTGAAAGATGAGCTCGAGTTGGCTCGGCAAGGGAAATCCGAACTTCCTGGCTTGCTGGACTCCTCTCCCCTGAGGTTGTTCCCACAGAAACACTTTATGACAGGTAAGCTTGGCTTGTCAGATGCTTGGGTCAATAATTGGTAAATGTCATTTGTCGTGCCTTCACCTGTAACCTCCCGATACCCAGCAGCTTAGACAGTGCATGTGGCAGTCCACTGTGAAACCCTGTGATTGACTTCATTAATTGACTTCATTGCCACCTTCTTTACTTCCCCTAAGTCCAGGGGCTCTCTTAATTGAAAACCCAGGTTGTTTCCACCAGGAGGCAAGGTTTAGAAGTATGCTGGCCATGGGACCTTGTTGCTTGTTCTTGTTCAGGATATACTAACAGAACGGTACCCTGGCTGTTTGACCTCTGACCAAACAGATTAAGAGCCTCACAGCACTGACTCAAATATGCACCAGGGTCATTAGGACCTGACTTGGCCAGGAATTTAAGCTCTTGTTGGGTATTAGGAGTCAGTGTGGAAAGAGAGCAAGTCAGTTTAGTGAATAGTGTAGAAACTAAAGGGTATCAGGTTTATATTTTAAGTGTGAGGTAATGAACATTTATTGAACGTCTGTTTTACCAGACCTGAATAGTGTATGTGTGTGTGTGTGTGTGTGTTTCGGGAGTGGTGGTTGATGGCAGGTGAAGGAGGAGAAATTGACCTTTGGACTTCATGAAGCAGATAGATTTGAGACAGCTCACACCCTCGTTGTAGAAGAGCAATTACACAACGCCACCAAGCACAAGATATCATAATATAGGCAGGAGTATTGAAGGTCTGTAGACTGGAGGTGGTGATAGATGTGGAATAGGCTTCCTTGTGTTGAATTTTGACCCATGTTTTAAAAGAAACTACTGGAAAAGAAAGTGCTAGGATACTCCAAACTGGGGAGGGGCAGGCACCAAGGGATGGTGTATGCAGTACAAACTGGGAGAATAATGATTTAAAGAACAAAACAAAACACATCTTTCATGTCATTCCTACATAAACACCTTCAAATGTCTACAGAGAAGAAGCATGGTAATTCTAGGCCCTCCATACTATACTAGATTCATTTTGAGTTGTTGTAAGAGGATTTGAAGGCTGTCAGAGAGAGGTACGGGGAAAGGAAAGAGAAGAATTTAAAAAAAAAAAACAAAACCCCAAACCACACAGGATTTTAAGTTGAGGAACTGGGAAGGCTCTTGGTATCTTTGATAACTGGGAGGCTGAGATGGATGGATGTTGAGAGAAAGTGATGAGATGCCCCAAAGCATGGCAGCCAAGGGGGGAGAAATGACTAGGCAAATGGGAGAGTGGTCATTTAGACTGCTGGTTTTCATATTTGCTATCTTCTTACCAATATTCCCCCTCCCCCGTTTTGCTTTTAAAAGTATATGGGTTAAATAGTTTAAATAAATATGGATTTAAAAGTTTATGGATTAAGTTACATTAAAAAGTTTCTAGAAGTAAAACATACACATATTATAAAGTGCAAATAATACAATACAATGTGGATGGAAAGTGTCTTCCGCACCTGACTCCATCCCCTTACTTCTCCACAACACTGTTACCAAGTTTTGTGCTCCATTTCGGACTTACTTTTATTTACTTATTTGCCTATGTAAGCAATATGCCTGCCTGTCTCACCTTTTTTTTTTTTTTTCCAAAGTGGCAACATACAGAATCCATATGGTTTTATATTTGTTTTACACTATTTTAGAAATCCTTTTCATGGCATGGATGTACATTATGGATAGTTGATATTTAATTTCTATGAAGTCCCCCTGAGATCTTTGTACATGTTTTTGTGCACAATGCAAGTCTTTCAGTGGGAAAGTTATTAGAAGTGGAATTGCTTAAAAGGAGAAACACTGAAATTTTTTGATAGGTTTTACAAAATTTCCCTTCAAATAAGCTGGACCAATCTACACTGTTACAAAAAAGTTTGAAAGTGTCTAGTTTCCCACATTCTTACCAAGTGTATTAACGTATTTTTTGAACTTTGAGAATCAGGTGGAAAATAACTCATTGTCATTTGATTTGCATAATGGAAGGGCTTTCAAATTTATTTTCAGCCAAGTATTGTCTATACAGTTTTTTCTTTAGTTCATGTTAATGAAACCTTCTAATCTCTTTTACTCTGTACTTTCGTTAGTTTTGGACCAAAGCACTATTCAAGTGTGCTGATGTGAGATTACAGCCAAAGGGGTATTGTTGAACCCAAAGACCAGAATTAAAGACAGAAACCGACTTATAATGCTTTTTAATGGTCGAGCCTTTTAAAATCTATATGGGAACATGGTGTAGGACATCATATAGGTAACTAAATTACACACGCATTTTGTTATCTTCCTCAGTTCCCTTCTGATTAGGACGCTTCAGAACCTGTGGGGAGGAAGCAGCCTCAACTCCAGCATGTTCGGCCACGCAGCGGGCATTAATCTGGATCAGAATAGTCCAGTCATTACTTGGCAAGGTGTTCATCCTCTCTGCACCTCGTCTGTAAATTGAGGGTATTCCATTAAAGACAATTGCTACGGTCCCTTGCTGTTCTTAATTCTGCACTGCCACAGCGTTATTTAATTGTCGGCTGGAGAAGAGGCTATTACTGCTGACAGTGCTGTGGGAAGACGGCGGAACTTGCCACAGACAGAGACTTGTCCCAAATGGGAAATAAAAGTGGGAAGCGTGTCAAAACCTAAACGGGATGCCGCGCTACAGCTCTGTGGTCCCTTCGCCCAGCTGCTTAGAGCTCCTGTTTTCTCAGTCTATACATGAGATGGAATTATTTAGCCAGCTGGGAGGGCGGTGGCGTGATCTAACAATACGGTTTCCAACAACCCCACGTTAATGTGTTTTCGGTTTGCCTTGAAAACTGGAAGAAACGCGCTTGAACCGCAGCAGGTGAACTTTATGCGGCTAGTCTCCGACCTGGAAAAACGGTGCCTGAACACAGGGCGGGCGCCCACCGCCTGGGTGCGTGGGTGCCGGAGCCGTTAAAGACCAACCAGCTGTCCCGATTTCCCCACACCCTCCGTGCCCGGGGGTGGGAACCGCGCGGCGGCGGCGGCGGGACGCACACACTAGGCGGGGCAGGGAGCTGCCGCCTCTAATTCCCGGCCAGTACCCGGGAGAGGGACCCCTATGCTGCGGCTTGTCCCCGCGCCACTTGGCAAGAACGTGCCGTGCGTGGCAGCGCGGCGCCCTGGTGTGTAAAAGCAGAAGCAGAAAACGAGTGGTTGGTGACCAGTCAGGGAATGTGAAGTTCACGCTACGAATCGGGCCGGAAGAGAAGGAGGAGAGCGGGGCGGGGACAGGGACCCTCTAGGGGAAACCCCCGACCCCGGTTGGGGCGGGGTGAGCTGGGTCTCGCCCTGGTCGCCTTCCCCGCGCGCGACTCTGTGTGCCGGGTGCGACGGCACGGGAAGGCGGCCTGGGCCAGCCCTCTCCCTGCCGCCCCGGCTAGAGTCAGGAAATGGAGCTTGTCTCTGAATGCTTAGTACGCGCTTTAACAAAGCGCACGGAAAGAAAAATGAAGAGCAGAGGGTCGGCGCGGAGCAATGGCCAGGGCAGTAGTCTGGGGCAGCACCGCCGGACCGCTCCACCGCGGCCCGCTCCACCGCGGCCCCGCCCCGGCTCGGCCCTCGGCCTCCACCGCCCCTTCCCCGCCCTCACTTCCGACCCTCCGAGACTTCCTACCCGGCAGGGGGCGAAGGTGGCGGCCCGGGCGGCAGTGAGGAGGGGCGGGGAAGGGGCAGCTGCGGTGGCTGAGCGAGCTGGAACCCCGCCGACTGCCACACCCCCGCCCACTGCTCCGCCGCTGGGCCTTCCACCCGCCCGCCCGCGGCCCCTCCTCCTTTGTGCGGTGGGCGCTGTTGCCCGGGCGACGGCGCCGCCCCGCCCCGGCCCCGCCCTCCACGGACCCCTGGCCCGGTCTCCGCGTGGCTGCCCGCCCAGCCGCAGGCCGCAGGAGCCGACGCTGCAGCCGGCTGCGGGGCGGGATTCACGGAGCCACCGTAGGGAGCAAAGCTCGTCTCTCCGCGTCTTTGCTTTCGCCCGCCCTGACCTCCTCCTCGCCGCGTCGGTCCGCTGGTGGGGTCCGGCTGACCAGCTCGCCCTCCGGCTCCGAACCGAGGCTCCAAGGCCGCCACAGGGACCCGCTTACCAGACCCAGCCAGGGGCCGCCCGTCTGCCTGTTTGGATCCTGCCTTTGATGACACCTGGCAAAAGGCTACCATGGAGGGGGATGGTTCAGACTCGCTGGTGAGTGGGGGAGAGGGACGGCCGTCTAACGCCTCGGTGGCGGCGCGCCGGGTCCCCTGGGTCTCTCTTTCCCCTCTGCCCTGAGCCGTGAGGGACCCTCTCCCCCCGGAGGAGCGAGGGCGGGCGTGTGGTGGCCCCGCTTCCTCTTCGCCTTTCCCGCCCCGGGCAGGGTTTCGCAACCCGGGGCGCCCCCTTTCTGCCCCTCAGTGGGACGGTCGGACTCGGGGTCACCGGGGCCCGGAAGAGTGTGCCACTCCTGTGCGGTGATGGCTCACCTGAAAACCTCGGGGAGTTTGGGCGGGGCTCTTTAATGGTATTCAGATTGTAGAATTAATTCGCTTTAGGGAGTCGGGTGCCCGTCGCGGCCCGGGGCGCGTGTCCCGCGCGTGTCCCGCCTTCCTTTGTCTGGGAGCGCGGTGGCGGCGGCTCTCGAGTCCCCCTCGGACCCTCGCGGGCCGGGCCCGCAGTCACCGCGAGCAGTGGCTCCTCCCCGCCTTTGCCTGCTCGCGGGAGGCGGGCTTACTGCAGCAGCTGTCGGGGTACAAGTGTTTTTGTTTCAAGGGGTCGGATATGCAATTCTTTCCAACTTGCTAGTTTCCCGTCGAACCTCATTTATTTTGAAATAGCTTAATTGGGGGAGCCAGCACATCACATTTCTCTTAATCAGGTTGTTTCCTCTCAATGAGTGTAAAATGAGCACTAAATTTTTCTTTTGCGTAAGAATTGCTTTATATCCATCGTGATTAGCAAGCTTATGCACTGCTCTGTGTACAAGAAAAGTGGAAATGATTTTAGATCTTTCAGTGGGAAGTACACCTCTCATAAAATGGGGCGTGAGAGCCTGTTCTGAACATTCAGGACAATAATTTCCTTTTGAATCAGATGTCAAATTCTTTACGAAATGAGAGAGGATGTGAATATTCTGTATTGTTTGATGTGAATTGTGAGGTGTGGATATCCTCCAAATTTACTAAAACTGTGATGTGCTGTGGGCTTTTTTTAAACATTGTGAGATGCATCAAGAAACGCTGCATCACAAGACCCATTGACAGTGATAAAGCCAGTTGGCTGAAGTGCTATTGTCAGGGATTATTAAAGCACTTGGTGTCATTTTAAGGGGAATACTCACATGCATTTTTATGTAACTAAAACAAGTGAATTAATTCAGTTTTAATTTTCTCTGTGTTTCCAGTAGTTGAAATGACTGTACAGGTTTATGAGTACTTTAAAATTCTACCATCATTAAAATTGCAGGTATGCTAAATATAGATTCATAGCACCTGAAGTTTGGGATCCGTGGGGAAAAACTACACAGGCAAAGAATGGGAAAACTGGTATGAGGTCATTAGACCTTTTTAGTTGTGATGAGTCTAAATGTTTCTCACTGAAAATATTGCAAGCCTGTAGTATCGAGAGAGCATTTATAATGGTTCCTTCTAATCCCCTATACCCTTTTAGTATTCATAAAGTGCTTTTAAGATAACTGCTTTGATATGCAGCCTGAGAAACTCTTACCTACATTACAGTTGCAGCATGTGGAAAATGGTCACATTTAATGTAGAAAGTTGCAGATAATTCAGCTTGTAAATAGATTTCAAGTAGAGTTCCATGAACATGATGGCTAACCCAGTTTTTACCAGCTCTTGTTACTTGCCAGTTACAGAGCTAATGTGCTAAATAGGAATAATCCTATTCTTAGTGCTATATACTTAATTTTTATTGAAGTAATCTACTTTCAGGATTTCATTGAAGTCCTAAATCAGTTAATTAATAATGATTTAATAACTTAATAATTGTTGATGAAATATTATGGTCCCCTAATACTTTATGCTAATTTTTCTCATACTTCAGGTTTTCTCTTTTTTTTTTCTTTAACCATTTCATGCCCCTTCACCTCTAGGCAATGGATAATGAGGGGGACATAATTAATGGTACAGACTTTCATAACCAAAATGAAACTTCAGACTTTAAAAAAATCTGTTTAATTCTTTTTTGAAAGGTTAACACATGTACTTATACAAGAGGTATAAGCATGTTAATTTACACTAAATGTATTTACACTAAATGTATTTACACTAAAAGCCTTTGATTCTGATTTCTTTTTCTCAACTTAAGGTTACCATTAAGAATATTGAAAGAGAGCTCATTTGCCCGGCATGCAAGGAGCTGTTTACCCACCCGTTGATTCTCCCTTGTCAACATAGTATCTGTCATAAATGTGTAAAAGAACTCTTACTGATGCTTGATGATTCATTCAATGACGTGGGATCAGACAACTCCAATCAGAGCAGTCCTCGACTTCGGCTTCCCTCCCCTAGCATGGATAAAATTGACAGAATTAGCAGACCAGGTATGTGGTAGAACCTGGGGTGGTGGAGTTTGGTTATATGTTCAGTGATAATTGTGGAAGGGAAATTATTTTCGTTGTTTTGGGGTTAATCATTCCAGGTGAATAAATTAAAACTATAGTTAGAAAAGAATCCCTCTCTCTTTTAAAATGAACTTTTAAAACGTCAAAATGAACTTTTATTGTCTTTTGGTATGCATTTAAAATGGATATTGGATATTGAACACGAATTTTGTATTGAACCCATTATTAACTGTGTCTGTATTTTAGGGGGTGTTCTGACCCTGTGAAGTCCTTTATATGAGGAATGAAATAATGGACCACTGAAGTACTTACTAGGGAACCATCTATGTGTGGTAATAGGTAAATAAATATGCAGAATTAAGGGATGAGACTACATAATGCCCAGTTCTAGAAGACTTTTTAGAGGAATGTTATTTGGTATCATTTTATTCCATTTTATTCTTCAGCCATTTTTTAATCCAAATTTTAAAGTAAGGATTTTGAACATCAGCTAAACAGTAGTGGAATTCTGTAGTAGTGTGTAGAAGTAGATCTAATTAGATGTATAGCACATGTACTATACCATTATTTATTTATTTTTAAAAATAAATTTATTTATTTTTAAAAATTATTTATTTTTAAAAATAAAGTTATTTATTTTTGGCTGTGTTAGGTCTTCATTGCTGCGTGTGGGCTTTCTCTAGTTGCGGTGAGCGGGGGCTACTCTTCATTACAGTGCATGAGCTTCTCATTGCGGTGGCTTCTCATTGTGGAGCTTGGGCTCTAGGCGCACGGACTTCAGTAGTTATGGTGCGCAAGCTCAGTAGTTGTGGCGCATGGGCTTAGTTGCTTCTGTGGCATGTGAGATCTTCCCAGACCAGGGCTTGAACCTGTGTCCCCTGCATTGGCAGGCGGATTCTTAACTACTGCGGCGCCAGGGAAGTCCTATACCATTATTATATAGCCGGTGTTTAAATTTTTTCCTATAGGGGTGGTGTTTCTTTCTTCTGAACATCTATTGCAGGATTAATGTAGATCAAAATTAATTTAAAATCATTGGGAACAGGGCCACTGGGAAGTTAAGGGCCAAAATTGGCAGTAAGGGTCAAGGGGAGGTAGAGGTTTGGGTAGAAATACCACAGCATCATGTTCAGCACTTCCTTCCTATGGAGGAGAGTCCTCGAGCGGCCATGAGCACCAGACTTCAGGGCTTCAGCTCTGCCCAGTTTGGGCTTTGAGGTTTTCAGTTTAATCCTTTTGTCCACTCTGTCCATTTCTCCCTCTTTAGTATAGGAGTAACTTTTTAATATTGTAAAAAAAAACCCTTTTTTAAAAATCAGAAAAGAATCTTTTTCTCCTCATTTGCATGTTAGAGAATGCCATCTTTTTTGGTCCATGCTGTGATATGGAGTCTCCTTGGGCAATATTTGTGTCTATGTGCTCCATCAGAGAGTGTATAAGAGGAGATTTGTTCTAAGAGTGGTATTATGATATTTTAAAAACATGAATTTTTTTAAAATGGTAATCACCAATTCCTTGGAGGATATTTTACACACATAAAAATTATACGTATATACAAAAAAGGGAGCATTAGGTAACGATGGGAGTGCAGGATGTATGAGGTTGGAGAGGGTTATGCTCTTTGTGAAGTCATCACTTTTATGTTTTCGTCCCTGTTAGGAAACTGGCATACTGAGGAGGGGAGGAAAGACAGTGATAGCTTAAAATCATTCTATCAGATAAAAATTCATATTCTGTTGCTAGATCCTCATTGGATAATTAGGGACCCTGGCTTGATTGACCAAGAAGATTCACTTTTTGTATATTAATATTCAGCACAGACCATGAAATAAAATTGTAATTAAATACTAGTATTTCTACTGATCATTAGATTGAGCTCACATGTGTATTTCATGAAATTCTGTGTTTTATATAGGCTTTGAATCTTAAGATTTGGTTTTTATGTGATCGATATAAAGTATGAATGAAATATAGATGAAAAATAGTTAACTGTTTCTGTTTTCAGGAACTTAACTAGCACAGTAGTTGGTAGATGTTTAATAAATATGTGTTGAGTGGATGTTGAATGACAAACGTTTGCTATAAGATTTGTACAGAGCATGCCATGATGGCTTATATTTATCGATGATGGCATTTTTCCAGAACAAGAGATCAAAACTAGATTTACCGAGATGTTCCTCCCTCTTCTTTAGGAAGAGCCCTGTTAAGCTGTATTATGTCCTCATGGGGGGCAAGTTAGAAGGCTTCTCTGTGGAGATCAATTATAGGAAATAAGAATATTTGGTGAAGGGATGACTGCAGAATATGATGGCTGCCTTGTGGAAGAGTAGTAGTGCTCTGGGTATATTCACAGCAAAAATTCCAGATCTGTCCAGTACACTAGCCACAGGTGGCTGTTGAGTGCTTGAGACACATTAGTCTGAGTTGAGATATGCACTTGTACCTCTTAGAGTGAAAAAATGAATATAACATACCTCTAATAATTTTATATTACATTTTGAAATGAGAGTTTTTGGATATATTGGGTTAAATATGTATTACTAAAATTAATTTCACTTGTTTATTTTTACTTTTTTGTGGCTACTGGAAAATGTAAAATGACATATGTGGCTTACACTTTCACACATATTCCTTTCAAATAGCATTGCATGGGTCATTTGACAGATTTTAAAATAAAAGCATGCCTTGAAAGGAGAGTAAGATTTGTGTGTATAACACTAGCATGTTAAATTGTGTAAAAATAAAAGAGCTATATAAGTGTTCATTTTTGGTCATATATATGCAAGCTTTTCTCCCATTCTGTATTACCTGTTGTCATTAAGATACAATCATTGGTAGTAATGTTTATTTACTGTGTTGATTTAGATCACTTAAAAAAACCAGAAAAGAGATGCTTGATTTTTACTTTATATATTCAACAGTTTTCAGAAGTGTGATTGTTTAAAAATACAAATCTGTAGGATAAAGTATGGGTCTCTTAAATGATGCACCAACAGTGATTAATTCTGAACCGTGATAGGATAAGCTTGATGACTGTTTTACATTGGTGGCTTTATATAAATACCATGCGTACCAGGAAAAACATTTTTTTTTACTGTTAATTCAGTAATTGTATTATGTGTAGGACACAGTTACTGCTTTATCTTTTGTTAACATGTTGTGAATCTTCTCTTTGAAATTAAATTCTAAATCCAGCTTTCTGTTCATTGTTCACAGCATCACAACGGAGATCTTTGGGGTGGAGAGGTAGAAAATGCTTTATTGCTTGTGTGGCCGCAGGCAGTATAGTGTTAGATTTAAATTAAATAACTTTATATAGATAAAGTTTTTTTTAAAATAAATATCAGTGGTCAAGTCTTCAAAATCATGTAGAAAGTGAACAAATTTGGCTGACATGACTTAAAGGTCAACAGGACTAAAATTCCAAACAATTTCTGATGTTTTTAAATGGAACTCTGATTATTAGTGCTTGCATTTTGCCATGTATACACACACACACAGACACACACACACACACATGTCCATTATGGGATATTTTTAAAGAAAATGACATCCCCTTGTTTGTTTTTAATGTTACCTTAAAAATGCTTTACATTTACTTAGTGGAACAAAGCTTACGTTGACAGCCATATTACCCTTCGGGAGGTTAAATAAACCAGTACTTTCTTCTGTATTTAAAAATTTGCTTAAAGGTATTGATAATTTTTGTAGTTAATACCATAATCTTTGCTTGTTTGTGCGTATGGTGTATTTTTTGTTTTTATTTTAAGGTATTTGGGTTCAGAGTTTTAACACTCAGGTCTCACTTGTGGGTAAATAACGTACATTGCTTTTGTGTGAAAGGTGGGCCAACCCATTTTATTAAAATAATTTTTTGTTTTTACTCCAGTTGACCTTTAAAGTAAAATTGGCTACTTTTTTTCAGGAATGCTGGTGATACCTTAAATTTTAGTGGAGAAAATAAACACCTGAAATGTATCCCTTTTCTGGTTTCCTCACCTGCTTCTACATGCCTCGATTTTAAAATCTTACAGCCACTTCTAGAAGCCACGTGTAATCCATTCTCTTACAGGCTTTAGTGAGTCCCTGAGAATTTTAAGTGTTGAAAGTTAATAATTAGGAGGAAAGATAGGAACAGTTTGCTTAAAAAATTACCTTGCTACCTACTTTTGCTTCAGAGGATAGTCGAGAAAAAGTTTTTGCAGTTTGAAAATGCTAATACTCAAAGGGTAAATGTAACTCATAGGCATCAGATGGTCAGAATGTGGAAGCATTAAGGTGGAAGCATAAGGCATCAGTCCAATGCACAACACCAGGAAGCCCAACGTGAGTGTCCAGCATGAGGAGAAATAGTCTACTTAACGTGTCCAGGTGTTAACAGTGGGGAAGTTGTTTGCAGCCAGGATATGGGAGAAGATGCAGCTGGCACAGGTTTGGAACCTGTTATGAATTGACTCTCTTTGTTTTGAAATACTTTATTATTCTCTTTGATCATTTAAACGGTAAAACATATGATGGAAAGCTGACTTTTTGGGGGGGATTTGCTATAAACGAGTTTGAAATTTTTATTGCGTCTTCATTTTATAATTGTGTCGTGGTTTATGCTTAACTAGTTTAATCTGTCGTTGAAGTTAAAGGTATGGGGTAAAGAATTGATTCTGTGAGGTGGCAGTGTTCAGATAATTAGCAAATATTATTGACCCCGCAAATGGAGTTTGACATAGAAAATTGCATTGCTTGGCCTATATTGCTTCTTTACCTTTCTAAGACATCATTACTTTTTTTCCCCATTATATCATGCTACTGGGTAGTACTGTCCCATAGACCTTTCTATAATTATAGAAATGTTTGACCATGCACCATACAAGATGGTAGCCACTAGCCATATGTGACTCTTGAGAATTTTAAATGTGGGTACTACAACTAAGGAAATGAATTTTAAATTAAATTTTAATTAAATTTAAATAGCCACATTTGGCTAATGTTTACTATATTAACAGAGTTATAGAGAAATGTTGATTCTGTTATGTTTTTTTCTTAGTTCTACCATCTTGATTTTTTCCCATCAGGTTCACTTCCCAGAATATCCTTAGATCTGTCCTGTTTTCTTTATTGCCCTGAATATATATTCTATTGATTGTTTTTATGAAAACAATGGTAGAAGTTAAGACAGATGAAATAAAAGTTCTTTAGCAGATATATTGATTTAGTATTTTGTCTGATATAAGAAGTTCAGTGTGATGCTTTATACCTTGTTTTTTTTATTATAAAAACAAAAGAGGTTTACAGAAAAGGGATAAAACTTTTTTTCTAAAATTTCTGAACATGAGGCCAAAATCTGGGTGTCACCAGTGTATGTGTTAAAGTGTGATTTTACTGGCATAATTTACTTTTGTTTTTCCCCATTACATAATTGATCACAATCTTCTATTCATAAAACCAATAATTCATTTTTTTAAAAACATTGACTGTTGAGATTAGGTATCCATTTTAATTTATATCACCTAGTTCATGTGTGGAAGCATGCAATTAAATATGAATTTCCATTTGTTTAAACTTGACCACTGTACTATATCACTTCCAGAATTATTTGGCTTGTTTTTTCACTAAACAAAATTTTCATTGGCATGTGTTTTAAAAGTAGCTCTGCTGCTTATTTTATTATGTGCCTGCTGTGGTGTGAAATATCTTGTACTGTATTGCATGTTTTTAGAATTATTACAAGAGTATATTTTATGTCGGATTTTCAAATTTTTATGGGGCAGATTTTTTTGTATGCTTTTTTGGGTATGTTTTAAAATGTGAAGGTTAAAAATATCTTTAAATATTTTGAAAATATTTAAAATTTAAAGTAGTGTAGCTGCATGTTTGTTGCATAAGTAGCTTTGGGGGCCTAATGCCATTTTGCATGGTGTAAAGTCACTTCAAATGAATAATATCGTGGGCTGATCACTAAATTTTACCTGTAGTGATTTATGTAGTGATATGCCAGATATCTTTTAAGACAGTCTTCAGTGATGATAGTAATGTTGCCAAGGCAATATTAATATAGCTGTTTAAAGACCTTTTCTAAATGTCATATACTAAGTTTAACCATTCACTTTTGGTACTGGATACATAGTAGTATGAAAGAAGGCTGTAGGTTAAAAACTTTGTGTTTATATTTAGGAAGTTATTTTGCAGGCAACCAAGGCTACATACTCAAATTTATACAGAAGAGGAGGGAACATGATAGGCATACACCTGTGTTAAACAGACTACCCCAGATTCTTGTGAACCTGTGGGTAAGGGCCGTCATGCCTTGGTTTCTTGATTTGTTAAAATCAGGATAATACTGAAGAAGAGTGTGATGTTTAAGGTCATTCATTGTATTATTTATATATTGTAAAGTTATCTGTAATTTTTTTGGTGTATCTTCTGGCTTACTGAATTAAATAATCTTAATGATTCTTTTTTTCAGGTCATAAGAAGATATTAAATGGTTGGTTCCTCTTAAAGTCACTAGATTCTAGATCTGTGAATGAGCTTTTTACTCTTTTATAGATTGCACTCAACTAACTAATGATTTTGCCTACTGAATTTTCTAGATAAAACAATACTACAGTGGGATACCCTCTCTTGCGGTGGTTCTTAACAGTTTTGTGGTCACATATTCTTTTGAGACTCTGATAAAAGCTATGGGTTATTTAACCAGAAAATATGTATGGATACATACATGCGAAATTTTGCATATAATTTCAAATAGTTTACCAAACTATTTGACTCTTCCTGGAGTCAATCCATGGACCCTGGCTGGGTTAAGGACTCTTGCTCTTTTATGTATAAACTCAGTTCCTATCAATGAGCCAAGGCTGTGTTCATTTAAATGCAAGCCAAATTCCTTTGGGAATGATATATGAAATTAACTATAAAGATTAATTGTATAATTTCAAAAGATCTTGACCCTGTGTAGTATTGTATTATATGTTTTGTCCACATATCTGTTTGATTTAATATGGTTTTTATATGGGATTTATTACAGAATAATTTCATTCCTTTTTGATTTGATCACTGTTTAATAACTTGGGCTTATCTTTTGTATGCCAAGGAAAAACCATTTTAAAAAAAGCATTTTCAGTACATAAATTGATTTATATGGAGCCACTTTGAGTATTATGTTTTTGCAATATGTTTGTAGTTATGTATCTTTCCAAAACATGACTCCTTAGTTTTCATTCTATCCATTTTCCTACTGATGTAACTAAACAAGGACTTAACTAATTACACAGGCTGGAAGCGCAATTCATTGACCCCTAGGACAACTACTTTTCCGTGTCCTGGCTGTGAGCATGATGTGGATCTTGGAGAACGGGGAATCAACGGTCTGTTTCGAAATTTCACTTTGGAAACTATTGTTGAAAGATATCGTCAGGCAGCCAGGGCAGCCACAGCCATTATGTGTGACCTTTGTAAACCACCACCTCAAGAATCCACAAAAAGTTGCATGGACTGTAGTGCAAGCTACTGCAATGAATGCTTCAAAATTTATCATCCTTGGGGTACTGTAAAAGCACAGCATGAGTATGTGGGCCCAACTACGAATTTTAGACCCAAGGTAAGTGAAGTTTCTATTAAGTTAGAGTATTAAACTTAATATGATAAGATAAATTGTAACAAGTCTAGAACCTGACAGTAAGAAGGGAAATAACTTTAAAAGCTGGAACAAGAAATTAAGGCCTAGTAGTTGGAGTTATTTAGTATGTTGCTAAACATCCCCAGAGCTTAGAAGGCAATATTATGGTTCACTCTATTACAATACAGTGTGATACAATACAATATATGAATGTTTGTAATGATAACTGAGTAAGAGAGGAAAGGTGATGTCAGATATACTGTCTAAGATTGAAATGGTTAAAGTTAAAAAGCTTTTGTGCTTTAATATGATAAATCCATAATTGTCTAAAAGATGTGATTGGGAAACATTCTGACATTTTTAGTTACCTAAAATTGTATTATGAATAAATAAGAGCAACTACAGCCTAATAGTTTGAAGCTTATGATATAATGGTTATATAGTATTTAAAGTGGAATTTGCATTTCTTAAATATTCTGGGTAATTTCTATAGTAACGTACAGAAAAACTTTATGAATGAAGTTATAGATGAAACAAAATAGTGAATAGTGTAATTCACTATAGTCAAGTTCTAAAAAGGTGTCTCATCCGATAGAATATTTGCCTTATAACTTTGAGTTCTTGCATTCCTTGCAGAAAGCCTGACTTTATATTCTATTTTAAATGTAATGGCTTTGAGAATGTAGGAACCTGGGCATGCTTAGAAATTTGAAATCTTTTCCAGTTTTTCTCCTGGAGCTACACATTGGTATTAGGACTTTTTATAATGGAATTAAAAAAAATTTTCTCTAAGTTATCAGACCAGTTGTAGTTGTTTAAAATCTAATCTTTTGGAATAATGGGCAGCTTTTTGATTTCCATTAACACACTAGTTTAAAAGAATCCTCCTTCTTTTCCAAATGAAAACAGCTACATTATGTAAAAATTCAGTGTAACTATGATGATAGTTTACAGAGTAAACAAAAAGGTAGAAACTTAAATCAGGAGAACACAGTTCTAAATTTGGTCAGTGTGTGTGCAATCAATATGTAAAAGCAAACATCTGGAAGCTTATAAAGTGTTCCAAGACTCTCTTAGTAACAGATTTCTTGTGAGGATAATGAGGCTATGGGTCCTCATAAGTTATTTGTTATGATACCTTAAAAAATATTGATCATGATCATTAAGAATTTACCTAGTCATTATGATCAGAGGACCTTTCTAGCTTGTTTAAGCATTTCACTTAAGTCTTATAGGAAGTAAATTTTTACCTTCTTATCAGCAGGTTTAGAGGAAATAACACTTACATAATTAATTGACCGTTTGAACCCTCAAATTGAAAAACAGTAATTCTAATGTAGAGAATTCTCATATAATGTACCAAATGCTTTTATTTCTTTTTACACTTTCATTACTTTAAATGGCTTTATTTAGTGATTTCATAAAGCAAATCTTTGTGTTGTGGGACTTTACCCAATTACTTGAAATCTTTTGAGTGCCATGTAAGCTATGAAGACCCTTAATCCCACTTTTATTCTTTATTCAATAGATTTTAATGTGCCCAGAACATGAAACAGAGAGAATAAACATGTACTGTGAATTATGTAAGAGGCCAGTTTGTCATCTCTGTAAGTTGGGTGGTAATCATTCCAACCACCGTGTAACCACTATGAGCAGTGCCTACAAAACCTTAAAGGTAGAACTTATTTTTGGAACTAAATTTTGATCCTTTATAACTTTAGACCTTTAACTTTTTCTGTATAAAATCATACTGTGCATATTGTGTGGTCTGTTTTACTGAAATGAGTTAATAATCTAAAGTGTTACTTAATGATCTATTAATATTAGGTTGTTAGTATTTCTGACCAGGCAGCTCTTTGTCCTACTGATATCTAGTTCTGAGGAAAGAGAGGGATGAAGGACACTTCATTATGATCCATCCCTACATGAGCCCAATGCCACGACATTGAGTGTGGTTACGGGAGTGACACACTTTGAAGGGTAGTAGCTGTTTTAAGACACTTGATTCTTATTGCTGCCAATAGAATTAGTATAAGCATTTTTGTTTATTCTGGTGGGTTCCAGCTAAAACTGAGTTATTTACTGTCTGTTAACCTTATACACGGCCTTTTTTTTTTTTTCGGTAGGCGGGCCTCTCACTGTTGTGGCCTTTTCTGTTGCGGAGCACAGGCCCCGGATGCGCAGGCTCAGCGGCCATGGCTCACGGGCCCAGCCGCTCCGCGGCATGTGGGATCTTCCCGGACCGGGGCACAAACCCGTGTCCCCTGAATCAGCAGGCAGACTCTCAACCACTGCGCCACCAGGGAAGCCCACATGGCCCTTTTAAAACTTTTAAATTTGATAATCTACAGCCAAGTAGGCAGTGGTATAGTGCTATTTTTTTGTTTCATTCTTTTTTCCTTTTTAAAAGGGAATCAATTCATTTATAAATCTACTACCCATTTAAATTTTTGATTCCTTTAACAATATGTGTATGCATTTTTTGACCTGTATCTATTTTGCATCTATACATACAGTTTCATATTTTGTATTTTGTATGTCTGACGTGCTCAGTCCTCCCTCTACATTCAACACATGGGTTACAGTATTGTTGTTTTATTGTCTGTCCTCATTTACTAATTCTGTTATCTGTGTCATTACTAGGTCAATTTTGACTGATTTTTCTTATCATTATGAGTTGTATTCCCCTCCTCCTTTGCAAGCCTGGCAACTTTTGATTGGCTGCCAGGTATTGTAAAGCTCACCTTGTTGGGCACTGGATATTTTTATATTCCTAAAGATATTCTTGAGTTTTCTTCTGTTGTGTGATGAAGTTACTTGGGAACAATTTGTTCCTTTTTGGTCTTGCTGTTAAGCTTTGTTAGGACAGAGCAGCATTTTGTTCTAGGACTAATTTTATGTGATTATTGAAGTAAAGCTATTTGTTTACTCTTCCCAATGCCCTATGAATTTTGAGGTTTTTTTTTTTTTTTTAGTCTGGCTTATGGGGAACAGGCACTATTTCCAGCATGTGTGAGCTCTGAAATTGTTCCTTCTAATTCTTTTGGGTGATACTTGCCCTGGCCTGTGGCAATTTCCTCACACATAAAAATTGATCAAAGCTCATATGAATAAGCAAGGGGGCTGCTTGGTAAATCTCTGGAGTTCTTTCTCTTTATGGCCACCTGTTCTTAGGTGTTATGTTTTATAAACTCTGGCCTCCGCAGACTCCCAGCTTCATCACCTCATCTCACGGGAGATCCTGGGCCCCATTTGAGTTCTCTGCACCAGGCCTGGGAAGCCTCCTCCTGACAATAAGCTGAGAGCAATCATAGGCTCATCTTGTTTCCCATCCCTCAGGGACACTGTTTTTTGTTTCTTGATGTCCAGTGTCTTGAGAGCTGTTTCATTTATTGTTAGGATTTTTTAGTTGTTTCAAGTGGGTGAGTAAATCCAGTCTTTGTTTCCCTGTTGTGCCTCACAGTGGCAATAACACTGTTTGCTAATTTTAACTTTGACACCTTTTTTGTTTGTTTCTTATTGGTTGGATATTATATAAGTTGTCCAAATTTTTTTTTTCTGTTACTTGGAATCAATATTTGACAATAGCATACACTTAAGTTACCCTTTGCCTTGTTAATTTCTCCCATTTATGTTTCACACTTTTAAAACTGAGACTCCATAATGGATTTTTCAATTTATTCACTTTTTAGTAAGAGTAAAATCATTCAGTTTTGCTGAAAGTAGTAAACAGATCTCCCTAGATCTTCCTTTTTACTTGTTTTAGATTTTAAGCTGGAGGCCTTCATGATGTAGGTGACATAGGTAGGTTTATAATATCATTTTCATTTTTACTCACTTGAGTGTTGCAGGAAGAGAGCTCAAACTCTGCTGGGTGTTAGAATCACCTGGAACACTTGGTAAAACTATGGAAGCCAGGCCTGTACTACTTTAATGACCGTGGGCCTCTGTGTTCTTTATGGACTCTCAGGAGACTGATGCACACCAGCATTTGAGAACCACTGCTCTAGAGGAAGCTTTGAGCAACTTTGGGGTCCTTGGGAATTTAGCCTCTGATCAGTTCCTAGAGAACTGGGGTCCTAATAACACTAAAGGATTTAAACCTGCTTCTCACGTTAGATGAACTTCTTGGATAAAACGCCTAGTATCAGTGTCCGGTGCATATACTTTTTTGAGGATTATGAATAAATGGACCACTGATTCTTGGTTAAGACAGATCTAGTCTTAACACAGACTGCCTAAGTTTAAGGGGACTGAGAAGACTGGAGCCATCTCAGATAAAGGCTGTGGTTGGCCAGAGACTTGGTCTAAGCATCACAGCTCACTGGAACCACTTAGACCTTGGATGGTGTTTCTGAATTCTGTCCTCTATTCTTCTCTAGCCTGTTTAGCACTGTTAACTTAAGCTGTTTCAGAACTAAGCCCTACTTCAGTTTAAATGGCCAAATTCCTTTCTTTGCTACTATAGCTAAAAAGAGTGCCAGCACTCATACCCCGTAGGTCTGGTCCTAACATGGGCCTGACAGCGGTGGTATTGGAAGAACTATCATCTTCCTTGCAGCTTGGTGCTGAGGAAGCACCTCTCAGCCTGTGACATCATGGTTAATGTGTGGTGAGGAGTTTTCTAGTTCAGCTATTGACTATGTGATATTTGTACTCAGTGAGCTTTGGTTTCCTTATCTGTAAAATGCTGGATTAAAATGCAGGATTTTAATGTCTCTTCCTATCCTTAACATCCTATGATTTCCTTCTTGGTCCCATCCTGCCTTGAGTTCTCAGAAATCTTGTTCCTCTGCCTGACAGGTCTTTCCTCTGTCCCTCCAGTGAGCCATCAAGGAAACTCACTGGGTCTGATTGCTGGGTGTCCCAAAGAGTTAAAGATGGGCCATGCTGGAGACCTGTCACTTTCATTTCTGCATACGTTCTCTTACCCTGTAACATGGTCTAAGTAAAAAAAGAGGACGATGATATAAGAAGGAGACTCACTTCTTCAATTCCTAGGAGCTTTGCCCCTCTTCTTCCAAACTCTTTTCAACCCTTCGTCCAGTTGTGAGCAAGAAATGTTCAGATCCTCCTGTCAGGGCTACAGCATGGGAGGTGTTTTCTGGATGTTCTTATTCTCACTTAGTCTCAGGATACATTGTCTCTTACTGCTTTGTACCCCGTGGTGCGTCAGGGTATTATTGTTTGTTTTTAAATGTATTTCAGGTATATTAATGTTTTCTGGGCCACACTAGTGATCTCACCAAAATCTATGACATTATCTCTATGGTAAACTATACCAGTTTCAGAATGACTACTTTACGAACAAACTATTCAATAAGCTCTTGAAGTTACCTATTTTTATAAATCTGTGTTTTCATTATTGTGTATTGTGTAATTGTTTAGTGAACATCTAGGCTGGGATGGACTCTGAAGATTATTTTGGAAGGGTCTTTGTTGTTTTTCCTGTTGTGTGTGGGGTGTGTGTGTGTGAGAGTGAATTATAAAATCTGGTGGAAGACAACACTATTTGGATTGCTGCCCTTCCATCTACTTAGAAGCCTTGGGAGGAAGCATTCTGGGAGTGATGATGAGACAACAAAAATATGCTATTTGTGTATTCAGGAGTTTTTACTAATCTGAGCATCACTACCTTGTTCTTTTTTCTAACTGCTTCTAATCCCTCATGTATCTTTAGGCCTGTGTGCTCAACGCCAGTGACTGTTTACGCTGGGTTAATAACAATAATAACCATTGTTGATTTTACTGTCTGTTCATCATAGGCTAGAGAAGAGGATACTGTGTTAAAAGAAATTCTGGAAGGCCTTTGTTACACTTCTATTTCTGTTTCTAATATATTCCAATAGGAAAAGCTTTCAAAAGATATTGATTACCTTATTGGCAAGGAGAGCCAGGTGAAGAGTCAGATTTCTGAACTGAACTTGTTAATGAAAGAAACGGAGGTAAGTGATAAGCTGGTTTGCATATTTTTCACTTATTCATTTCGATATTCATTTATTCGTTCATAAAATCCAGAGGGTATTATTTGAGCTGGGAGTACAAAGTTGTGTTAGATCTCACTCCTGCTTTTCTGGGACTAAGAAAACAAATGTAAAATATAATGCTCTGTGATCGGTGCTGATAGAGGTTGTGATTAAATGATATTGGAACACAGAGGAAAGAATGACTAATTCTTTATGTGGCAGTTAACGAGTTCTCCAAAGTAGCAATATAAGGAAAATGATAGCTTTTATGATTATCTGTATCTTATAAAACTAACAGATTGCATTTGAAAAATATACTATATGTCAATAAGACCAGGTTTATTTAAGTTTCCAGATACTCCGAAATATATTCCTGTCACATATGTTCACCAAAAGACATGTATTAAGATGTTCTTAGCTGCATTATTTGTGATAGCCACAAAACGGAAAGTACTCAAATGTTCATTAACAGTGGAATATAAATAGTAGTGAAGGATGAATATCTACAACTATGTGCAACAATGTAGATAAGTCTGGCACTAATATTGAAAGGAAGATGCCAAATACAAAGGAGTACATGCTGGGTGATTCCAAGACAGGTGAAACAAGACTGTGTTGTTCAGGATAGGAGTTACTGAAGAGAGAGAGGATTAGTGCCTGGAAAAGTTATAAGGGTGGCTTCTGGGATACTGGTAATATTGTTCAATCTGGATGCTGGTTACATGGGTGTGGTTGCAAAGCCTCACTGCTCCTTACACTTATATGTACATTTTCCTCTTTGCATATTATACTTCAATAAAAAATTTTAAAAACTGATAGCACTTTAAAAATATAGTAAGAGAGGATAGGACTGGGTTATTTTAAAATTCCTAATAGTCTTCACTGATTTTGATCCCTATTTCTTTTCTCTATTTGAAATAAACTGAAGAGCCATTACCCTTGATCACTTTATGTTTTGTAATTAAATATAAAAATACTCTGGCTAGTATGAGACTGTCATTTCTTACAAATTTTTTTCAAAAATGGGTAAAAATCATTGAAAAATTATGTGAATTAGCACCATATTACCAGTAAATTTTTTTTTGAATTTTATTTTATTTATTTTTTTATAGAGCAGGTTCTTATTAGTCATCCATTTTATACACATCAGTGTATACATGTCAATCGCAATCTCCCAATTCATCACACCACCACCCCCACCCACAGCTGCTTTCCCCTCTTGGTGTCCATACGTTTGTTCTCTACATCTGTGTCTCAATTTCTGCCCTGCAAACTGGTTCATCTGTACCATTTTTCTAGGTTCCACATATATGTGTTAATATGTGATATTTGTTGTTCTGACTTACTTCACTCTGTATGACAGTCTCTAGATTCATCCACGTCTCTACAAATGACCCAATTTTGTTCCTTTTCGTGGCTGAGTAATATTCCACTGTATATATGTACCACATCTTCTTTATCCATTCGTCTGTCGATGGGCATTTAGGTTGCTTCCATGACCTGACTATTGTAAACGGTGCTGCACTGAACATTGGGGTGCATGTGTCTTTTTTTTCTTTTTTTTTGGCAGTACGCGGGCCTCTCACTGTTGTGGCCTCTCCTGTTGCGGAGCACAGGCTCCGGACGCGCAGGCTCAGCGGCCATGGCTTACGGGCCCAGCCGCTCCGCGGCATGTGGGATCTTCCTGAACGGGGCACAAACCCCTGTCCCCTGCATCGGCAGGCGGATGCTCAACCACTGCGCCACCAGGGAAGCCCACATGTGTCTTTTTGAATTACAGTTTTCTCTGGGTATATGCCCAGTAGTGGGATTGCTGGGTCATATGGTAATTCTATTTTTAGTTTTTTAAGGAACCTCCATAATGTTCTCCATAGTGTCTGTATCAATTTACATTCCCACCAAAAGTGCAAGAGAGTTCCCTTTTCTCCACACCCTCTCTAGCATTTGTTGTTTGTAGATTTTCTGATGATACCCATTCTAACTGGTGTGAGGTGATACCTCATTGTAGTTTTGATTTGCATTTCTCTAATAATTAGTGATGTTGAGCAGCTTTTCATGTGTCTCTTGGCCATCTTTCCATCTTCTATGGAGAAATATCTGTTGAGGTCTTCCGCCCAGTTTTTGATTGGGTTGTTTGTTTTTTTTAATATTGAGCTGCATGAGCTGTTTATATATCTTGGAGATTAATTCTTTATCCATTGCTTCATTTGCAAATATTTTCTCCCTTTCTGAGGTCTGCCTTTTTGTCTTGTTTGTAGTTTCCTTTCTTTTGCAAAAGCTTTTAAGTTTCATTAGGTCCCATTTGTTTATTTTTGTTTTTATTTCCATTACTCTAGGAGGTGAATCAGAAAAGATCTTGCTGTGATTTATGTCAAAGAGTGTTCTTCTTATGTTTTCCTCTAAGAGTTTTTTTTTTTATTGGAGCGTAATTGCTTTACAATGGTGTGTTACTTTCTGCTTTATAACAAAGTGAATCAGTTATACATATACATATGTTCCCATATCTCTTCCCTCTTGCGTCTCCCTCCCTCCCACCCTCCCTATCCCACCCCTCCAGGTGGTCACAAAGCACCGAGCTGATCTCCCTGTGCTATGTGGCTGCTTCCCACTAGCTATCTACCTTACGTTTGGTAGTGTATATATGTCCATGCCTTTCTCACGCTTTGTCACAGCTTACCATTCCCCCTTCCCATATCCTCAAGTCCATTCTCTAGTAGGTCTGTGTCTTTATTCCTGTCTTACCCCAAGGTTCTTCATGACATCTTTTTTCCTTAAATTCCATATATATGTGTTAGTATACGGTATTTGTCTTTCTCTTTCTGACTTACTTCACTCTGTATGACAGACTCTAGGTCTATCCACCTCATTACAAATAGCTCAATTTCGTTTCTTTTTATTGCTGAGTAATATTCCATTGTATATATGTGCCATATCTTCTTTAGCCATTCATCCGATGGTGGACACTTAGGTTGTTTCCATCTCTGGGCTACTGTAAATAGAGCTGCAATCAACATTTTGGTACACGACTCTTTTTGAATTATGGTTTTCTCAGGGTATATGCCCAGTAGTGGGATTGCTGGGTCATATGGTAGTTCTATTTGTAGTTTTTAAAGGAACCTCCATACTGTTCTCCATAGTGGCTGTACCAATTCACATTCCCACCAACAGTGCAAAAGGGTTCCCTTTTCTCCACACTCTCTCCAGCATTTATTGTTTCTAGATTTTTTCATGATGGCCATTCTGACTGGTGTGAGATGATATCTCATTGTAGTTTTGATTTGCATTTCTCTAATGATTAATGATGTTGAGTATTCTTTCATGTGTTTGTTGGCAGTCTGTATATCTTCTTTGGAGAAATGTCTATTTAGGTCTTCTGCCCGTTTTTGGATTGGGTTGTTTGTTTTTTTGTTATTGAGCTGCAAGAGCTGCTTATAAATTTTGGAGATTAATCCTTTGTCAGTTGCTTCATTTGCAAATATTTTCTCCCATTCTGAGGGTTGTCTTTTGGTCTTGTTTATGGTTTCCTTTGCTGTGCAAAAGCTTTGAAGTTTCATTAGGTTCCATTTGTTTATTTTTGTTTTTATTTCCCTTTCTCTAGGAGGTGGGTCAAAAAGGATCTTGCTGTGATTTATGTCATAGAGTGTTCTGCCTATGGTTTCCTCTAAGAGTTTGATAGTTTCTGGCCTTACATTTAGGACTTTACATTTTGAGCTTATTTTTGTGTATGGTGTTAGGGAGAGATCTAATCTCATACTTTTCCATGTACCTGTCCAGTTTTCCCAGCACCACTTACTGAAGAGGCTTTCCTTTCTCCACTGTACATTCCTGCCTCCTTTATCAAAGATTAGGTGACCATATGTGCGTGGGTTTATCTCTGGGCTTTCTATCCTGTTCCATTGATCTATCTGTTTTTGTGCCAGTACTATACTGTCTTGATTACTGTAGCTTTGTAGTATAGTCTGAAGTCTGGGAGCCTGATTCCTCCAGCTCCGTTTTTCTTTCTCAAGATTGCTTTGGCTATTTGGGGTCTTTTGTGTTTCCATACAAATTGTGAAATTTTTTGTTCTAGTTCTGTAAAAAATGTCAGTGGTAGTTTGATAGGGATTGCATTGAATCTGTAGATTGCTTTGGGTAGTAGAGTCATTTTCACAATGTTGATTCTTCCAATCCAAGATCATGGTATATCTCTCCATCTATTTGTATCAACTTTAATTTCTTTCATCAGTGTCTTATAATTTTCTGCATACAGGTCTTTTGTCTCCTTAGGTAGGTTTATTCGTAGATACTTCATTCTTTTTATTGCAGTGGTAAATGGGAGTGTTTTCTTGATTTCACTTTCAGATTTTTCATCATTAGTGTATAGGAATGCCAGAGATTTCTGTGCATTAATTTTGTATCCTGCTACTTTACCAAATTCATTGATTAGCTCTAGTAGTTTTCTGGTAGCATCTTTAGGATTCTTTATGTATAGTATCACGTCATCTGCAAACAGTGACAGCTTTACTTCTTCTTTTCCGATTTGGATTCCTTTTATTTCCTTTTCTTCTCTGATTGCTGTGGCTAAAACTTCCAAAACTATGTTGAATAAGAGTGGTGAGAGTGAGCAACCTTGTGTTGTTCCTGATCTTAATGGAAATGCTTTCAGTTTTTCACCATTGAGGACGATGTTGGCTGTGGGTTTGTCATATATGGTCTTTATTATGTTGAGGAAAGTTCCCTCTATACCTACTTTCTGCAGGGTTTTTATCATAAATCGGTGTTGAATTTTCTTGAAAGCTTTCTCTGCATCTATGGAGATGATCATATGGTTTTTCTCCATCAATTTGTTAATATGGTGTATCATGTTGATTGATTTGCGTATATTGAAGAATTGTTGCATTCCTGGAATAAACCCCACTTGATCATGGTGTATGATCCATTTAATGTGCTGTTGGATTCTGTTTGCTAGTATTTTGTTGAGGATTTTTGCATCTATGTTC